TTTAATCCGATTTCATTGGGGTTTGTTTCAAACGACGCGCCATGAAGTTCTCTTTCTCACCACTAGGCCGCCTGGCGCGTCGGCCTACCCGGTCACGTGACAGGCCCATTGTTTTCGTGTCACGTGTCGTGAGTCGATCACGCTCCCCTCGCGCGCCAAACTCGAGCATTTTTACCCGTTTCCGTGTGGATTATACCCAATTACTTCATCAAAAATGGATCAAGGTCAAGGCCCGTCAAAAGGTCAGGTCAAAAAGATTACCTTTTATTTCCTGCAAATGGCATTGCATAATGCCTATGTTTTGTACAAATACAACACAACTGATCGAAAAAAGCTAACATTGCTACAGTTCCACGAAGTGGCAATCTGGGCCCTATTGCACTGGGACACAGAGGAGTGGCCTAAAACATCATCATCATCTCAACACTTGCGGCACGCTCCAGACATAAATGATGACACAGCTCCTGCCAATGCTGACGCCATGCCAACTCCCGGACCATCTGGTGTGAGGCGGCCTTTGTTCACTACACCACCTCAAGATGAAGCAGACAACGAATCTGAACCCGACATGTCTGCCACACTGCCAGTTGACGAAACTGTTTTGTCAGATGAATCTGACTCTCCTGCAACTCCTGTTACACCTCCAGCGAGAGGACCTGGCCGCCCTATTGTTGATTCAGAAAATCGCATGAACTACAAACTGAAACATGAAATTTACAGACTGCCCAAACGTGTCAAGTGTCATGCATGCGCACGGTCCGGTAAAAGGAAGGACACGAACTATGGATGCAAGACCTGTGGTGTTGCACTCTGTGTTGTTCCCTGCTACACCAATTACCACCGGAAACAGGTGTATTGGGTGGTGAAGAAGTAACCACCCGCAACAGCTTCACTCCACCTACAAACCATCTGTTAAGCAACTTCAGGAATGAAGAACCTGAAGAAGGTGGAGTGAAGAACAAATGCTCAACTTACTGTTCCACAACCAGCCTTCCCTTGGTAAGTACACCTATTTGGTCCAAGTTTGTGTAGTATAATTTAGCTCATAGAACATTCTATTGCGAAAACATTGCCACAAAAATGAATGACATACATACAATAATAATATCAGAACAGTGAAATAAGTATAAACTTTCAAAGCAACGTTTCGCGCGTGTGTCGTCCGGTCACCATTACCGGGTAACAGTGCGCCCACTTCCCACACTCTTGCGGGTGGGCCGGGACCATTATTCTACGATTATATTCATATTACCGTGTTGGGAATTTTATTGGGAGTCCATTGATACCAAAATTAAGGCTGTAGGACAATTGTAGAGGTGATAATAATCCCAAGAGTAAAAACATTTTGTTGCTGTTGAGCGCTCACGGCGACTCATCTTCGTAGTTATTTATTTCATGCTGGTATCTCTATAGCTTTCGTGACTTTTTTTACTGATGTTCTTCTAGAGAATTTTATTGCGAACACGTTGGTACCAAAATGAAATACGTAGCATGAAAACTAAGGTCAGAAAAGTAAAAAGAGTATACACATTTTTGTTTTTACGCTTAAGCGATAAAAACGCCGCGCGCACATACGGTTGGCTGAGTGACCTTCGCCGAGAACGCAAAAGTGTTAACACTTTAGTGCGCGCGGCACTAGCTCGAAAAAAAAGCGGGTTGTGCGCGCGGCGTTCTGGGCGCTCAAGCGTAAACACAAAAAAGTTTATAATCTTTTCACGCTCCTAACATCAATTCTCGAGCTACGTTTTTCATTTTGGTATCAATGCGTTGGCAATAAAATTCTCTACAAGATCATATGCATAACATGTCACCCAAGCATTTGGTATCCCACCACGAAGTAAATAAACACGAAGATGACTTGCCGTGACACCCAAACAGGAAGTAAATGTTCATACTCTTTCGTTTGTTGCCAGCCTTACAGTCATCCTACAGCGCTCATTTTGATATCACTGAACTCGCAATAAAATTCCCCATCCAGACATATGCCTATCAATGTCTAATTATGGTATCGGGTGACCCGCACGAGTGTGGGAACTGGGCGAAGCGTTAGCCGTGATATCAGCAGCGACGACACTGGTGTGATGCAGCGCTTTGAATGTTTATACTTATTTCACTGTCCTGACATTATTTCTGGAGCTACGTATTTCATTTTTATAGCAATGTGTTCGCAATAGAAAGTTCTATAAGAACATGGGTAGAGTTGGCCAACACAGTGTCAAATAAATTTGCGGCGAATAAAATCTTACGCGTGTTTGTACCCGTGAGCGTCAAAAGTTTTTACTTTGCTCATGTTTTTCAAGTTTATACTTGTTTCACACCGTTTTTTTTTTTGTATAGTGTTCGGAATAAAATTCCCTACACAGACATATGCATATCAAATACAATTCCTTGGAATTCACAGCTGTAGAGATGACGGAAAACACACAACCGGAACCCGCTCTTGACACTCCAACTCACACCCGCAACACCCACAACACCCACAAAAAAATTTTATCTTGTTTCGTGTATACTTACTTTAGTTTTCGTGCTACAGTTCTCATTTAGGTATCAAAATATTCCTAAGAAAATAGACTACAATACTGAAACAATCTAAGACAATTATGTGTACTTACCAAAGCAAAGACGATTGTAGTAAAATAAGTTGAGCATTTTATCTCCACTCCACCTCCTTCAGGTACTGATTCCTGAAGTTGCTCAACAGATGTTCCTAGGTGGAGTGAAGCTGGTGCGGGTGGTTATTTCTTGTCCACCCAATACACCCTTTTCCTGTGATAAGTGGTGTAACAAGGTATGACGCAAAGTGGAACATCGCATGTCTTGCATGCTATACCAGTTTCCTTCCTGATACCCGACTTTGAACACACTTCACACCTGCGACGTTTGGGGATTTTTACCAGCTCATGTTTCAATTTATAGTTCAGGCGAGTCTCTGCTATAACAACACGTCGCTGTTGTCTCTGGGTTGGCAATAAACTACTGTCTGAATCGTCGCTCTCACTATTGTTTTCAAACACTAATGTGGAATATGAATTATCTTCATCAGATTCAGCTTCAGCACTAGGTGTAGACGTGAAAAGAGGGCGCCTCACACCCGACGGGCCAGGTGTTGACGGGTCAGCAGCAGGATACACAGGACCAGTGTCATCATTTATGTCTGGAGCATGAACTAGATGTGGAGATGGTGTAGTTGTTGCAGGCCACTCTGCCTTGTCAAATTTCAATAAAGACCAAATAGCAACTTCATGGAACTGGAGCAGAGTTAGTTTCCTTCGATCATCTGTGTTGGCCTTGTACAATGCATAAGCGTTTTGCAATGCCATTTGCAAGAAATAAAATGTTATTTTCTTGGTCCACTTGTGACATTTCCTGGCGAAATGGTAATACTTTACCATTTGATCAAAGTGGTCAACACCCTTCATGAACTTATTGTAGTCAACAATTGCCTGTGGTTTGTTCACCACAACCTGCTGTAGTCTTACTGTTCCATCTGCCCTGCGAACTCGTTTTCTTTTCTGAACTTTCTTTGTGTCTGCATTGTGTAGGTTGATAATCATAGAGACAACTCGCTTGTCGCCCACAACTCGCCCCCTCCTCCTCCTCCTCAGTTTGGCTTTCAGTCTCATCCTCTGTTGAGTCATCCCCAAGGGGTCTACGGTCCCCAATTTCAAATTATTCTTCTACATCCTCACCTTCTGCATCACTTCGTTCATTTTCAGCTTGATCAAAGGCATCCAAGACATTGGGAATCTTGGTGGGAGTGAGCCTCATACCAGCAAACCTCCTATAGATAGCGGTAATCCTGTCTTTTCCACTTGATTCTGAGGCTCCTGTAGCCGAAACACCGCTTGGGCCTGGTGCTGGATCCATTATTGATGAATTTAGTGGGTTATAAACACACACACAAACGGGTAATAATCCTTGAAAACGTGCGAGTTTGGCGGCCGAGGGGAGAGAGATCCGATCACGTGACGGATCACTGGGTCACGGCCTGTCACGTGACCCAGTAGGCCGACGTGACTTGCGGCCTACCCGAGAGAACGGGAATTTCATGGAGCGGAGTTTGAAACAAACCCCAAGTAAATCGGATTTAAACTGGATTTTTTACAAATATTTTAAACCGCACCGTAAATTTACGTCGTGATCCGACAAGCGGTTAGGGAAAACGCCCGTAATTCCAAGTCGAAAATCCAGGAAAGTGTTAAACAGCATTTCAACACTTTTGAGCTCCCGACATGCGCGCCACAAACTTAAAGATCATGCCCCCGGTGTGCCGGCAAGCGCGCTGGCGAGAGCGCAGCGACACCGAATGTGTATACTCATTTCAGTTTCTCACCTTAATTCTCGTGCTACGTCGTTCATTTTGGTATCATTGTGTTCGCAATAAAATTCCCTATAGGTGTATATGCACATAATGTTCAAACACTTAGCGTGACACCCCACAGCAAAACCTAAAGTTACCAATGAACCAGCACCAACTTGCACACCGCGGCATAATGTGTATACTCGTTCAGTTTAATTACATCAATTTTTGTCTTACGACTTTCATTTTGTTATCAAATTGTTCGCAATATAATGGCGCATATTTTAAAACTAGTCTCATAATAATAGAGCAATAAATAGAATTTTAACAAATATTTTAATTTTGGACGCTCATCATTACAAAATTATTCATATCTTTCCAGTGTTCCGACAAATTTTTCGTGTTACATCTTTCATTTTGGTATCAAACTGTGTGCAATTTAAAGGTGCTCATTTTGAAACTATCCCAAAGGCGATTAGATAAAAAATGAATTTTATATAAATATTTTATCGTTGACTCAAAATCGAGTCCAACCCTCTAACTCTAGAGAAAAAATTGGAGGCGCGCTCAAGCGCCACGAGGGTGCGAAAGTGATAATTTATTAAGCGTGTGCTTGGATGAATATAATATGGAATACATCATGCAGGATAATTATCTAAACACTACTGAGTGCTTATTATATATAGTATAGTGTGCTTACCTCAAGGTACTTCAGCTTAAGTTGCAACCCTGAACGTTCATCATTGAGTGATGACACGAGCTGCTGTGTTTCTACCAAGGCAGTTGTTGTCGTTTCAAGTTGTTCTTTTAACAACATAAAATCATCCTCAAACTTGCTCTCTGTAATAATAAAAAGGTGAATATAATTATCAGTTCTTCTGAACCAAATTATGCAGTTAACCACTTGTTCATAGAACAGATAAAACTGACTAGAATTAGATAAAGCGACCAAACTTTTGGGTTAGATATGAGCACATGATTCACCTGCATGTTCAATTACAAGAGGCAAGTACTACAGGTGGCAATAAAGGTGCAGTATACACCGACCTCGTGTACATTCCTACTACACATTTAGTGGAAGACCAAAACTTTCATTATGCCATAAATGATTATATGTCCAGTTTCCACTCAATCAAATTTAATGTGAAAAAATGCTAAAAATTCCCTCATAATGTGGCTTAAGTGATAATAGGTTGAGAAGGCTTTGACATGAAGATGAAATACTGTATATAATACCGAGAACATCTGGGAGAAAATAAAGGTCACTACACAAATTATTTGGTATACTGTACTAGTGTTATATCGTTAGCAAGCAGCGAACCAACAGGAAAGAGTATTGTAATAACAGTCAGGAGCTAAGGAAGTAGTAAGAAGAATCTTATATGGTTCAGTACCATGGAAAATACGGTTCTTGATTTATGTTAGCAACTTTAAAAGATGTAAGAGCATTCATAACTGTTTGCAGAAGACTCAAAATTTGATGAGAACTGCAGACACCACAAGAGGACCTCGAGGGGCTGCTGCTTAATGTCAAGAATATGCATGATGGTATTTAACCATAAATTGAGCTTAAACTTTTGTATTTGGCATAGGAATAGTAAATTACACTGTAAGGAAGGTGACAATTGGACATGCCATGACATACTTTAAACAGCAGAGATCGCACCACATTACAAAGGAGGCAGTAAAGCTGATGCAAAACATTATAAACCAATAGCTCTAACATCACACATCATGAAAACCCGAGTGCCAAGAAGAAAGATCACAAAATACAAGGAATTAAAGCGTCTACATAACCGTGCACAACTTGGGTTCAGAACAGAGCACTCCTGCCTCTCAACTTATACTCTAGACCTATGACCACTTAGGTGCCATGGAAGACAAAATGCTGATGTAACACACATTTCCCAAAAATATTTGACAAATGTGATCATGGTGTTATTGCGCACAGAATGCGCACAAAATGAATTACTTGGAAAGTAGGGAGATGGATCTTTACCTTCCTAACAAACAGAACCCAGAGTGTTATAGTCAACAAAGTAAAATCCGGATCATCCACCATGAAAACCTCAGTGTCCTCAGGGTACTGTGCTTGCTCCAGTACTGTTCCTCATCCCCATATCAGACAAAGATCAGGATACAAACTATAGTACCGTATTATCCTTCGCAGACGTCACCAGCATTCTCATGAATAGACACTATAGAAGACTCGGCAAACCTCCAATTCAATGTTAATCCAATCTTTCAATGGGCCACAAAATAATATGATGTGGATAAGTTCCAATAACTGTGCTACAGAAAAAAGTCAAAGCAAAAACCCCAAAACAAAGTCAAATCACACCAGTGAAAGAAAGTGATGTAGAAAGATTCAGGAGTAATCATGTCAGGAAAACTAACTCTTAAAGAATACAATAAAGTAGCTATCACAACTGCAAGAAAAATGACAGGTTAGATAACGAGAACCTTCCAAACAAGAGATGCCTCACCTGTGATGATACTTTTTAAAACACTTAGCACTAACTGGAGTGGAACCTTTGTTCAAGGTAAGGTAAGGAATATTGTTGTCCACTAACAGCCCCATTTTAAGCTGGAGAAATTGCTGCCCTGGAGAGCATGTCAAGATCTTTTACTACTTGAATGCACTCAATAAAACATCAAAATGATTGGGACCACTTAAACATTTTCAATCTGTATTCCCAAGAGCGCAGGCGGGAGAGATGCATAATAATTTACACTCGAAAAATACTAGAGGGACTGGTCCCAAGTCTGCACACAGAAATAACACCATATTAAACTAGAATGCATGGCAGAATGTGCAAAATGTCCCCACTGAAAAACATAGGTGCAATAGGCACATATTAAGAACTATCAAAGGCCCAAGACTTTACAACTCTCCTCCACATACGAGGAGGAGGAACGTGTTGCTCTTCCCCCACTCAACAACCACAACCCCCCCCCCACTCTCTCAACAGCCATAACCCTCCCCCCTCAACAGCCCTCTGAAGGATCAAAACCAATGGAGGAGCTGGATAATAAATGAGGGCGCCACATTATAATAATGAGAGATTATAGTAGATAGATAGACCACAACTACTGGAAGTCTGTGACCAATTTGAAATCCATAGACTGGGAGGCTATATGAATCTACAATCAAGGACTTTTGGACCTGCAGATTCGTAAACCTCATCCTGGAGACATTCTTGTATCAACACGTTAAACAAGCTACGAGGATGAGGGAAGGGGATGTTCCTTCCATGCTGCATTCGATATTCACCAGGAAAGAGGAAGAGAGATTTCGCATTTAGCACCTTTCTCCCTCACGCAAAGGTGACCATAAACTTCTGGGAATGAGAGTGTGCAATGCATTAGAATCTGGAAGAGAATGAGAAAGTTGAAGCAGTTGAAAAACCTGATTTCAGAAGAGGACACTATAGAGTATTTAGAAAGTTCTTTAATGAATTTGAAAGGAAAGGCTTGTGGTTAGGCGAGGAAGTAAATGAGATGTATGTCAAGTTTTGTGGATTTATGGCAACAGAAGAAAAAGATGTAATATCATCACTAACAATACAGTAAAGGGAATCTATAAAATTGATGGGGATGAATTCCAGAGATGTGAACTTCAAAAAACAAGGTCATAAATTTAAACTAGTGCTAAAGTTAATGTGCCAAAGAAGTATAAGAAAATTCATTTTTGCAAGCAAGTGCAAGACAGTTGGAACAAGGAAAAGGTGGAGGCGAAAACTGTCAGTAGTTTCAAAGCATTATATGAGAGTGCTGGGAAGATGGGACACCACGAGCACAGCTCTCATCCTGTAGCTACACTCGGGTAATTACAGGACACCACGAGCACAGCTCTCATCCTGTAGCTACACTCGGGTAATTACAGGACACCACGAGCACAGCTCTCATCTTGTAGCTACACTCGGGTAATTACAGGACACCATGAGCACAGCTCTCATCCTGTAGCTACACTCGGGTAATTACAGGACACCATGAGCACAGCTCTCATCCTGTAGCTACACTCGGGTAATTACAGGACACCATGAGCACAGCTCTCATCCTGTAGCTACACTCGGGTAATTACAGGACACCATGAGCACAGCTCTCATCCTGTAGCTACACTCGGGTAATTACAGGACACCATGAGCACAGCTCTCATCCTGTAGCTACACTCGGGTAATTACAGGACACCATGAGCACAGCTCTCATCCTGTAGCTACACTCGGGTAATTACAGGACACCATGAGCATAGCTCTCATCCTGTAGCTACACTCGGGTAATTACAGGACACCATGAGCACAGCTCTCATCCTGTAGCTACACTCGGGTAATTACAGGACACCATGAGCACAGCTCTCATCCTGTAGCTACACTCGGGTAATTACAGGACACCATGAGCACAGCTCTCATCCTGTAGCTACACTCGGGTAATTACAGGACACCATGAGCACAGCTCTCATCCTGTAGCTACACTCGGGTAATTACAGGACACCATGAGCACAGCTCTCATCCTGTAGCTACACTCGGGTAATTACAGGACACCATGAGCACAGCTCTCATCCTGTAGCTACACTCGGGTAATTACAGGACACCATGAGCACAGCTCTCATCCTGTAGCTACACTCGGGTAATTACAGGACACCATGAGCACAGCTCTCATCCTGTAGCTACACTCGGGTAATTACAGGACACCATGAGCACAGCTCTCATCCTGTAGCTACACTCGGGTAATTACAGGACACCATGAGCACAGCTCTCATCCTGTAGCTACACTCGGGTAATTACAGGACACCATGAGCACAGCTCTCATCCTGTAGCTACACTCGGGTAATTACAGGACACCATGAGCACAGCTCTCATCCTGTAGCTACACTCGGGTAATTACAGGACACCATGAGCACAGCTCTCATCCTGTAGCTACACTCGGGTAATTACAGGACACCATGAGCACAGCTCTCATCCTGTAGCTACACTCGGGTAATTACAGGACACCATGAGCACAGCTCTCATCCTGTAGCTACACTCGGGTAATTACAGGACACCACGAGCACAGCTCTCATCCTGTAGCTACACTCACTTAATTACAGGACACCATGAGCACAGCTCTCATCCTGTAGCTACATTCGGGTAATTACAGGACACCATGAGCACAGCTCTCATCCTGCAACTACACTTGGGTAATTACAGGACACCATGAGCACAGCTCTCATCCTGTAGCTACACTCGGGTAATTACAGGACACCATGAGCACAGCTCTCATCCTGTAGCTACATTCGGGTAATTACAGGACACCATGAGCACAGCTCTCATCCTATAGCTACACTCGGGTAATTACAGGACACCATGAGCACAGCTCTCATCCTGTAGCTACACTCGGGTAATTACAGGACACCATGAGCACAGCTCTCATCCTGTAGCTACACTCGGGTAATTACAGGACACCATGAGCACAGCTCTCATCCTGTAGCTACACTCGGGTAATTACAGGACACCATGAGCACAGCTCTCATCTTGCAACTACACTCGGGTAATTACAGGACACCATGAGCACAGCTCTCATCCTATAGCTACACTCGGGTAATTACAGGACACCATGAGCACAGCTCTCATCCTGTAGCTACACTCGGGTAATTACAGGACACCATGAACACAGCTCTCATCTTGCAACTACACTCGGGTAATTACAGGACACCATGAGCACAGCTCTCATCCTATAGCTACACTCGGGTAATTACAGGACACCATGAGCACAGCTCTCATCCTGTAGCTACACTCGGGTAATTACAGGACACCATGAGCACAGCTCTCATCCTGTAGCTACACTCGGGTAATTACAGGACACCATGAGCACAGCTCTCATCCTGTAGCTACACTCGGGTAATTACAGGACACCATGAGCACAGCTCTCATCCTGTAGCTACACTCGGGTAATTACAGGACACCATGAGCACAGCTCTCATCCTGTAGCTACACTCGGGTAATTACAGGACACCATGAGCACAGCTCTCATCCTGTAGCTACACTCGGGTAATTACAGGACACCATGAGCACAGCTCTCATCCTGTAGCTACACTCGGGTAATTACAGGACACCATGAGCACAGCTCTCATCCTGTAGCTACACTCGGGTAATTACAGGACACCATGAGCACAGCTCTCATCCTGTAGCTACACTCGGGTAATTACAGGACACCATGAGCACAGCTCTCATCCTGTAGCTACACTCGGGTAATTACAGGACACCATGAGCACAGCTCTCATCCTGTAGCTACACTCGGGTAATTACAGGACACCATGAGCACAGCTCTCATCCTGTAGCTACACTCGGGTAATTACAGGACACCATGAGCACAGCTCTCATCCTGTAGCTACACTCGGGTAATTACAGGACACCATGAGCACAGCTCTCATCCTGTAGCTACAGTCGGGTAATTACAGGACACCATGAGCACAGCTCTCATCCTGTAGCTACACTCGGGTAATTACAGGACACCAGGAGCACAGCTCTCATCCTGTAGCTACACTCGGGTAATTACAGGACACCAGGAGCACAGCTCTCATCCTGTAGCTACACTCGGGTAATTACAGGACACCAGGAGCACAGCTCTCATCCTGTAGCTACACTCGGGTAATTACAGGACACCATGAGCACAGCTCTCATCCTGTAGCTACACTCGGGTAATTACAGGACACCATGAGCATAGCTCTCATCCTGTAGCTACACTCGGGTAATTACAGGACACCATGAGCACAGCTCTCATCCTGTAGCTACACTCGGGTAATTACAGGACACCATGAGCACAGCTCTCATCCTGTAGCTACACTCGGGTAATTACAGGACACCATGAGCACAGCTCTCATCCTGCAACTACACTCGGGTAATTACAGGACACCATGAGCACAGCTCTCATCCTGCAACTACACTCGGGTAATTACAGGACACCATGAGCATAGCTCTCATCCTGCAACTACACTCGGGTAATTACAGGACACCATGAGCATAGCTCTCATCCTGCAACTACACTTGGGTAATAACTACACCTTCCAATCATCACCACATTACCACCACACCAGATTTTCCAGCAAGTTTTCCCACAACATGTTGCTCTTTCGGCATGTAACTTAACACCTGCAGTTTCCCCATATTAACTAAAAAAAAAAATTTAGAAACATGAATTATTACCTGATAATTCATAGGGTTTTTCCCAATCATTAGTCTGGGTACTGTTGCTAGTGGAGACTGTGTTAGGCCTCTTGTTTCTCACAGCTGACCTCTCCATCTCAGCTTGGCACTCCTCCCTAATTAAATGGATATGTATTTACAAAACATTTATTACACAAAAGGACAGCCTTATCTATATGTTGCCATATTTTGTTTTGCTCAATTCCAAACAGCCACCAGATTTCAATGCTGGTAGTGTTTGAGTATGAGTACCGTGCGCGCATGGGGGAGGGAGGGGGACCGTGCGCGCATGGGGGAGGGAGGGGGACCGTGCGCGCATGGGGGAGGGAGGGGGACCGTGCGCGCATGGGGGAGGGAGGGGGACCGTGCGCGCATGGGGGAGGGAGGGGGACCGTGCGCGCATGGGGGAGGGAGGGGGACCGTGCGCGCATGGGGGAGGGAGGGGGACCGTGCGCGCATGGGGGAGGGAGGGGGACCGTGCGCGCATGGGGGAGGGAGGGGGACCGTGCGCGCATGGGGGAGGGAGGGGGACCGTGCGCGCATGGGGGAGGGAGGGGGACCGTGCGCGCATGGGGGAGGGAGGGGGACCGTGCGCGCATGGGGGAGGGAGGGGGACCGTGCGCGCATGGGGGAGGGAGGGGGACCGTGCGCGCATGGGGGAGGGAGGGGGACCGTGCGCGCATGGGGGAGGGAGGGGGACCGTGCGCGCATGGGGGAGGGAGGGGGACCGTGCGCGCATGGGGGAGGGAGGGGGACCGTGCGCGCATGGGGGGGGAGGGAGGGGGACCGTGCGCGCATGGGGGAGGGAGGGGGACCGTGCGCGCATGGGGGAGGGAGGGGGACCGTGCGCGCATGGGGGAGGGAGGGGGACCGTGCGCGCATGGGGGAAGGAGGGGGACCGTGCGCGCATGGGGGAGGGAGGGGGACCGTGCGCGCATGGGGGAGGGAGGGGGACCGTGCGCGCATGGGGGAGGGAGGGGGACCGTGCGCGCATGGGGGAGGGAGGGGGACCGTGCGCACACTGGGAGAGGGGGAAAGGGGGTCCGTGCATGCACTGGGGGGGAAGGGTGGTCCGTGCATGCACTGGGGGGGAAGGGGGGCCCGTGCATGCACTGGGGGGGAAGGGGGGGCCGTGCGTGCACTGGGGGAAAGGGGGCCCGTGCGTGCACTGGGGGGGAAGGGGGCCCGTGCGTGCACTGGGGGGGGCGAAAGGGGCCCGTGCGTGCACTGGGGGGGGGCCGTGCGAGCACTGGGGTGGGGGAAGGGGGCCCGCGCATGCACTGGGGGTGGGGGAAGGGGGCCCGTGCGTGCACTGGGGGGGTGGAAGGGGGCCCGTGCGTGCACTGGGGGGTGGAAGGGGGCCCGTGCGTGCACTGGGGGGGGGCCGTGCGTGCACTGGGGGGGGGGGGGGGGAAGGGGGTCCTTGCGTGCACTGGGAGGGGGGGGAAGGGGGTCCTTGCGTGCACTGGGAGGGGGGGAAGGGGGTCCTTGCGTGCACTGGGAGGGGAAGGGGGTCCTTGTGTGCACTGGGAGGGGAAGGGGGTCCTTACATGCACTGGGGGGAAGGGGGTCCTTGCGTGCACTGGGGGGGTGGAAAGGGGGCCCTGTGCGTGCAACAGGGGGGAAGGGACTGTCCGCGTACTGAGGAATGGGGGAGAAAAGGGGACCGTGCACACACTGGGGGGAAGAGGACCATGCACACACTGGGGGGGAGAAGGGGACTGTGCACACACTGGGGGGGGGGGAAGGGACCGTGTCTGCACTGGGGGAGGGGGAAAAAGGGACCGTGAGTGCACTGGGGGTCGACAGTGCACACACAGAGGGGGGGAAAGGGACAGTGCATGCATTTGTACATTGGGAGTGGGGGAAAGGGAACCCAGTGTATGCATTTGATGTTCCAAAACTAATACAAGCGAAGTTATTCGTATTAGTCCCTAGAATTAAAAAAAAAAAATAACAATAACGAAACAATGATAGGGCGGTGGTAGCTTTAGGACTTGTGTAAACAGCACACGTAACCATTGGAGATGAGAATATGTGCATTCTATTTTAAAAGAGAACGAATGTAGTTGGGGCCTCACCTAGTTGCATACAGCACTGGTGTGCTGCTGGGGTTATTATGATCAGTCAACATGGAATTACTGTACAGTAGTCTGTGTACATGTGGTAGACTGATGGATGTTTTAATGTATTTAACCTTTATATCTTATATTATTGCCCTGTCATTAATACTTTCGTGCTCTGCGCACGCGAGCTATCTTGGGTGGTTTTCGACGAGCACAATAATTCTGAAAAGTGTATACTCTTTTAAACTTTGTCACCTCAATTCTTGTCAAAGGTTTTTCAAATTTGGTATCAATGTGTTCGAAATAGAATTTCCAACAGGAGTATATGCATATAATGTCAAAAACCACAGCAAGCTCCACCCGCAGACGTGATGAAAGTAGGCCGCGGTTACTGGGAAGAGCGCACCACGCCACCCACCCTCTCTAATTATTAGATATTATTATTATTATATTATCATTATTTAGAGTATTACGCTCTCTAATGGAAGGCCAGGCACTCCGCCTGGCCTTCCATTAGAGAGCGTAATACTGAAAAGTAAATACTCTTTTCAACTTTGTCACCTCAATTCTCGTCCTAGGGTTTTCAATTTGATATCAATGTTCGCAATAGAATTCTCTACAGGACTAAAACTCCAAAAGCCCGGTGTACCATCCGCAGCAAACAAAGAAAGTGACATCGCATTACCCCTGTGAGCACTAATCAAGCACAATAAAATGTGTATACTCTTTTTAACTTTATATATAATGCATATAAGGTCAAAAACTGTGGCTCGCCCCTCCCACAGCCAACTGCAAATGCAGGGCAAAATTTTTATTTTTTGACACCATACTTCGTTATTAGTGGACATTTAGCTAAATATTTTACGCCATACTTCGTCATTAGTAGGCCATAGTGTTAATCTGCTGTCTCCACAACAATGAAAAAGGGACTTCGTCTATTGGACAATAGAGAAAAAAAATACCTACTCTTAACCTTCAAGTCTAGACATCTTTCAAAAATTAATATAAGCACTTTACCCTTTCTGGTCCAGTTGGAATAAGTCGTCGTCATTCACCATAATTGCGGCATCTCTTGTTTCTTGTCTGTCTATCTTGGACTTTAAAGTGTTCAATCTGCAAAAGATTATTGTAATAGTGTTAAATTTAGGCTAGAAATTATATGCAACTAATGATATTACTGCATGTATAATATTGAATATTTTATATTCTATTACTTCCACATAAGCTATATATATTAACTTTTGTAATTTATATTTACAATGCCACATTTATTTACATGGCTAGGGAGAAAAGCAAATGGCAAAGGAGAATATCATTGGTACAGAACTACAGTACTGTAGTATCATTATACAGAAAATCAAGATCAAAGTATGATGATTTGGGGCTCCTCTCCTAATCAGAGATCAAAGTCTCACCTCAGCGACCAGCAAGAGCGGACGCATCCGCTCTGCCACTCCACAAGTAAGTGAAACATCTGCACCCTCTCATGGTACTTATGTACTCGCTCTACCATGATTCATCGAATTAAAGTTCAGTTCAGAGATGAGACCTCATTTGCCCAGCGCCAGATACTGTCAAAAATAGTTTACATCAATGCAGCACCGGTGGATATCCGACGGCGTTGGCGCAGAACTCCTCTACACAAGTGAGGAAGCTCTGGAACACCTGTTTGCTTTAGAACATCAGGACGCCTTATGAGAGACTGACCTTGCCTACCTGTCGCTACTTGGCTGATAGAACAGTTTGTCAGCCGCACCAGTGTCTCCATCGCCACCCAGCAACTTGCCAACATCGTGAAGAGCATCCACGATAAGAACCCGGTCCTGACTGCAGTTAAAAGTCATCCAGAATGACAACCTACAACCTACCCTGAAGGTGACCACCTCTACAGCTGGTCACAACCCAAGCAGCGAAAAACAGATTCTGATGCCTTGAAATATCGATTACCCCAGAATCCATCAAAAAGAACGTTACCTCCAACTATGTCAGTGCTTCAAATGTTTATAAGTACGACCACTACACCAAGAACTGTGAACTCTCCAATGGTAAATGGAGCATTTGCACTCTGGAACATCACTACAAGAGTGAGCTATAAGATGGTGTTTGTTGACCATCCAACTGTGCCTCAACTGTGGAGGACCCCACACCGCCTTCTCCACGAAATGTCCCACAAGACCATTAGAAATTCTAAAGTCAGCACCCAACAGGCCAACTACCAATCGGCCCGAGAGCTTTCACATCCAGGCAACGATGCTCCCAACTTTACCAAACTCCTCTGCTACGACGATGTCCACACTTGCCAAGCACACAGGCGACGAAGGCCCAGACCAACAGCACCAATACCAGACAACAGCTGGCCTTCCAATGCAACCGGGTCATCAACAAGAGCCCCGACAAATTCCCTCATCGAATGTTCGTGAACGCCGCCATCATACAAGCCTTTGTGGGCCTTTACATCCTGAAGTAGGAGTATTGTGACCCAGATGTCAGAAACAGATTCCCCAATAGACAATTACAATTCAGCGCCAAAACCGACAATCTGGAAGGAACCGAGTTACCGCAGTTGCAATGCGGATTACTCAAGCGATGCCTTGAGCACGAGGCACTAAAACACCAAACGTGTACCGCTTCAAATGGGAAGACGCCGCTTCCAAGCCAGATACAGCACCTCACCTACACCAGCATGAACGTCAACCCCCACCCCACAAGCCCCCTGCTGCAGAAGAAGAACTCAACCACAACTAACTACTTCAAGATTAAAACTTTATGCCAACCCATGGTGGACAGGCTACCGAACTTTCAAGCCTTTTCGTTCCCCGTCCAAATCCTCCTCAAGACTGCTAACTTCATCCTTCTTCATTACCCCGACTTTTCCAAGTCATTTGGACATCGAAGTTGAAGTATAATGATTTGCACGATGCTGTGTATCTGTGGTTAATGCTGTATTGTACCCCCCCCTGGAAACGACATTTGGTGGAGCATGGTTACAGTCTGTAGAGGATGGAATGGCACAAACCATGGATAATAAAAACTTCAAGGCCAGTTCAGGGTAGCTGAAACAGTGATGTGGCAGAAATAACTTAAATAAAATCGAATATAGTGATAAGGATATGAACTTAATATTCAATGGTATTATGCTCTGGGTGATGACATATGGCCTAATTGGCCCCCATATAGGTCAGTGTATAGATTGAAACCAAGGTGTAAGCCATCAATGTGGCATGCACACATGGTGGCTAGTTCCTCCTTGAGACCTTGAGGTTATCTTGAGATGATTTCGGGGCTTTAGTGTCCCCGCGGCCCAGTCCTCGACCAGGCCTCCACCCCCAGGAAGTAGCCCGTGACAGCTGACTAACTCCCAGGTACTGTATACGCAACCATGAAAAGGTAGCAGGAATTTTTTTTTTTTACATGGGATCAAGATAGCACTCTGTGGATGTCATGGAGTGTATTACATCCATTTTTACAACATACGTTTAAAACCAAGACAAAAATTGTTTAACCCTTAAACTGCGCAACGCGCCTGAGGCGCGTTGCGCAGTTTTTCACCTTCCATTCAAAACTCCCGCGGCCAAATGGGGTTCACATCAGCTTCCTCAGGGCTCTTGTAAACAGACCATCTTTAAAAAAAATCGTGGTCCACATTCCCAGGTGTGGGAGCCTCAGTAGTGAGTGAGCAACCAAGGCTGGCACTCGCAGCATGAGCGCACAGCACTGCTGTTCAGCGTGTGACCACAGCATTGCCTAATAATGTCAAAATATATATATAACTTGTATTATTTAGCCATGATAGTATTATAGAAGAGCCTGAGTGTGATAATGACTGGGTACAATGTTCAAATATCAGTGATTCAATGCTGTTCACGATGTTCACAGCGCTAGCCACAGCACCACAGCATTATTTTTTTTTCGTCCATCTAGGAATCTTCAAATGACTTCTTAGGTTCCTTTTAAAATAAACGTGTGGTCAATTATTCATTTACAGGAATTAGTGACCAGGATTGTGATAATAGCAGGATTGTGGTTATAATTAGCGTTGTGCGTAGTATTGTGGAAGAAGGAATTTTGGTGAGGGAGGAAGGGCGAGAATTGAGGTAGCCTCATTGTGTGTGTGTGGCAGCCACTCTTGTTTTGCTCACCATACTAGCTTAGTGGTTTGCTATGAGCAAAACATATGTACATGGGTATATACAGTGTGTGCAGTGTGTGTATATAGTGTAAGAACAGCAAAAGGAGAATGTTGAGGAGCTATTTTGGTGAGGGAGGTTACGTTTTAATTGTAGCATTGTCTGCTGTGTGATTTTTCATGCGGTGTATGGTGGCAACTGTACAGGTGGACACAATACCAGCTTACTTGCATAGTTCTGATAAATAAAACATGTAGATAGGTATATATAACATGTGTAAATAGTGTAATAAGAACAATAACAGTATTGTGGGAGGAGCAATGTTGGCAAGTAAGATGTTGGAGTGAGGGAGACTGGCTGGGTGTGGCTGCTCTCACTCGAAGTGTTCTGAATGTGTTGATGGTGAATGTATATAGTGTGTGACAGTGTATAGTGTGTAAATAGATTGTATATATACATAAATTAGCATGATACATAGTAAATATGTGCAGCATATGTGTACACAAGTGTCATGCACGTAACAGTGTCTTCGGACAGTACGGATGTTTTACTGCCATAATATAGTGTACATGTTCATTATACATAGGATTAGCACGTAAAAATAAAAAAAATGTATTTGGAACTGTGCGTAAAAAATGAACATAAATATATTCGCAGCAACTCGTGCTCCCCGCCCCGGGCGCCCTACTGGCCCCGGGAACGTACGTCACGGGCAAACGGGGGATGATGGCATCACGTGCCAACTTACGGACCCCATAGCAGCCAAAGTAAGCACAATTTTGATTTTTTTTTTACATACCCATACTGAGGGAAGGGTTTTTGACACTTTTAAAAAGTCAAAAGAATTTTTTCAAGAGAATTTATTTCCTGCGCACTAGGGGGGTGTCATATTTGGAGGCAACGCAGTTAAGGGGTTAAATCGTCACACGACGATAACCACATTACCCCATCAATCAATGTACGGCGATAACCTCTGTCCTAAGGTTAAGCATAGTGTCAACTATTTCTACAAATGAGGGATTTTCAGGTCAAGAACAGTTGGTAGAAGGTAAAAAAAAAAAAAAAAGCTTCATTACTGCTCAGTAATGCTTTTGCACACCCCGAGGTTAATGCATTAAAATCCTTAGAATTACTTGCGTGGCCCTTCCATTAAATTGCCACATTTGGCCCATGGACCAAGGGTTCATTCATACCGGATATAAGAATGCTTGATAATGGGGAATTGCTCGAACAAAGGTTAGTTAGTTACTGATATAGATTGGAAAGAAAACAGAACAAAAAATATCTAACAAGTATAGAGAAGCAAGTTATATTAGGGAAAAAAAAAAGGAAAATACCAAAGAGAACTTCAAATAAAGTGATACTTAATGTCATACTAGGATGTTCCGAGATGCCGGAGGAGGAGGAGGAGGATCGTGATTATTACCAAGTGGTTAGATGGCTAAGAATGTTCCCTGTGCTCAGGTGGACAATGAGGAGCAAGACAAGGGTAACTTACCAGTGGAAGAAGAAAATATAAGTCTGCGTCATGTTAATTGTTTTCCAGAGGTATGGTGTCTTGAAGGACTTTAAGGAACTTGGGGAAAAAGGGAGGGACAAACTCTATTGTTAAGTAGAGCCAAAGACGGACAAAAGGAGTCAAAGAGACACATTTGTACCTATGTGATCAGTTCACCACTTTTCAGTCAAGCATCAGACATTTTAAGACATTATAAATTTATATTGTAATCTATGTTATGTAGAGAAACAAGAGAACTTTCTCAGTGGGCAAAATATGGTTGAGTAACATTAAACCAATGAAGGCTCATTGGTATCATCAATTCAGTTTTAAATTCACATCATTTTTCCAAATTTTGTTGGTTTAAAATGTAAAATTTAATGATGTTAATCTATGCATACAGTATATTAATCTAAGAAATGTTTAATGTATAGAAGAAATGCTAAGATGAGCATTAAGTCCTTTTCTGGGTTTAGTGACTCGGATCAAAGTTTTATTGAGCCTGTGGCTGGTACCAGTGGTGTAACTGGGCGAGAAAATTGTCGCGTCAGCAGCATCTCGCCCGGCCAAGCGCCACCGCATGGCACCACATGAGGGACCAAGACCCTCGTGTTCACGTGCACCCACCTCACGTGCACCCACCTCACGTGCACGTAGCCGCCGTGCTTCTCGCAGACGGTATTCAGCTCCTGGTCGCCGGTATGCATCGCTTCCTCGCCGTCTTTCCTCTGCATCTCGCAGGACGCCTGGTATACTTGAGTGGAGTGATGGCGACGATTTTATTCCTAATATTCCTCACTTTGACGATAAAGATGTAGGGATTACAAACCTTTTCCCTAATCAAGGTGAGGACATGGCTGAGATGGAATATTTTACAGCATTCTATGATGAACCACTCATGGAATACATTGTACACCAAACGAACCTGCATGCTGCTTACCTGATTGAGAGGGAAATCACAGAATTTTCACGACTGCAGCGTTGGAAAAATACCACAGTGGCGGAAATGTATGTGTTTTTGGCACTCTGTTTGTTGATGAAGCACTGTCACAAACATGCAATAAATGACTATTGGAGCAAGGACAAGACAATACCAACACCTTTATTCGGGAAATATATGTCACGAGACAGGTTTCAGATACTCCTCAGGTGTCTACATTTTGGAAGTGTTCAGGACCGAACACCTGATGATAGACTGTGGCGAGTGAGGCACTACATGAACGATGTTATTGGAAAATTCAGAGATTTTTACGTACCAGCACAGAAGCTGGTGGTTGATGAATCTCTCATACTTTTCAAGGGACGTGTTTCCATTCAAACAGTACATTCCCTCAAAACGAAACCGATTTGGCCTGAAATTTTTTGTTCTTTGTGATTGTGAGACAGGATACGTGTTACACATGATTCTGTACTCGACTTGTGATGTAGACATTCCCGGTAACGACGAACATGGATTCTCGGGGAGTGTAGTGAAGACCATCATGGCTCCGTGGATGAACAAGGAACACATTTTATACACAGATAATTACTATACAAGTCCCTTGCTAGCTCGGTTCTTGCTAGAAAATAGAACCGTATTGGTTGGTACAGTAAAGCCACAACGAAGGGAAATGCCTGTGTTTGACAACGACATTGCAGTTAGTGAGTGTCAGAGAAGGAAAAGTGATAACATTCTGTCAGTTCGGTGGAAAGACAAAAGAGAGGTGAACTTGTTGACAACAATTCATGATGGAACAATGGTGAACAGTGGGAAAGTGAGCCATAAAACAAACGCACCACTATATAAGCCAGACTGTGTTTTAGACTATAATATCAACATGCGGTTGATTGATAAATCAGACATGATGATTGGCACTGCAGAGTGTGTGCGGAAGACATGTAGGTGGACGAAAAGTGTTCTTCCATCTTGTGGACATGAGCATGCTGAACTGTTTCAACATGTACCTTGTGAGAACTGGCTCATCTTAGCATTGTCTACATCATTGTCAGCATTAGAGGCTCTATACCACCATAAATTTAAACAAAGCATCACAAATGTTTAAGATTAAGAACAATAAAAAACATTGTAATAAACACTCACTGTGTTTCTAGCTCTGCTATCAATTTCCTCATTGCCTTTCTTTCTTCAACAAGTTCTTCAATCTGCTCTTGGAGTTGTGCCACTCTATCACTTTTAATCTGGCCATGATTGCCACGTAACGATGAATGAGACTGTGCTCTTGGACGTGGTGGCTGCAAGTCAACACGTTACTCATGTAGTTAGCAAAAATTACAAAATAAATCACTCATCCTGGAAGGAAAGGAAGGAAGGGAAAGGGAAGGGAAGGGAAAGGGAAAGGGGAGGGAAGGGAAAGGGGAGGGAAGGGAAAGGGGAGGGAAGGGAAGGGAAGGGAAGGGAAGGGAAGGGAAGGGAAGGGAAGGGAAAGGAAAGGGAAGGAAAGGAAAGGAAAGGAAAGGGAAGGGGAAGGGAAGGGAAGGGAAGGGAAGAAAGAAAAAGTGTTGTCGGGGAAGATGGGGAGTAAGTTTTGTGTGTACATTGCACACAAGGAAACAAAACTCAAATTACTGAACTGTACTCATTGTACATTATTACTGAACTATACTCACTGTTCTACGGTATTGCTGGACTGTACTTACACTGAGAAACACTTTGTTGCTGCCCGAAGCATTTGATGAATTAGAACAAGTTGAAAGGTTAGAAGCATTTAAGCGAGATGAAGATGTGGAGCTTCTCTTAATTGGTGAAACCCCTTCTGTTGCATATGCTCCAGGTCCAGGCGTTTCCTGTAAATAAAGAACTTTGTTCACCAAATAGTTGTAACAAGTCCCACAGTCAGACAGGAAACTTTTAGGCTTCATTAGGCTTCACAAGATTCTCCAAGGCCAACCACTGACCTCCCCAGGATGCATCCCACAATACTTGCCTAATTCCCAGGTAGTCTATTTCACTCTTAGAACACTCTTCTATACTGGAACTTGCAAAGAAAACCATACATACTGCGTGATCTGGCAAGGATCTTTTTAATGAGTCTTATGAAGGAAGACTTGCCCAGTTGCTGGAAGGTAAATGTGATACCAATTTTCAAGACGGGAAAGAGGCACTTGACTACAGACCAGTATCACTGACAAGCATTCCCTGTAAAGTACTTTAACAACACTTTCGCGCGCCCGGCTAAGGTTAAAAAAAAGCGGTATGTGCGCGCGGCGTTTTTGTCGCTGAAGCGTCAAAACAAAAATGTGTATACTCTTTTTACTCTCCTGACCTTAGTTCTCGAGCTACGTATTTCATTTTGGTACCAACGTGTTCGCAATAAAATTTTCTAGAAGAACATCAGTAAAAAAGGTCATGAAAGGTATAGGGATACCAGCACCAAATAAATAACTAATTAGATGACTCGCCGTGAGCGCCCAACAGCAACAAAAATGTTTTTACTCTTGGGATTGTTATCACCTCCACACTTGTCCTACAGTGTTAATTTTGGTATCAATGGACTCGCAATGAAATTCCCAACACGGTGATATGAATATAAACGTAGAATAATGGTCGCGGCCCACCCGCAAGAGTGTGGGAAGTGGTGGAACTGTTACCCGGTATTGGTGACGGGACGACACACGTGCGATACGGCGCTTTGAAAGTTTATACTTATTTCACTCTCCTGACATTATTATTCTATGTACGTCATTCATTTTTGTGCCAATGTGTTCGCAATAGAATGTTCTATGAGCCCGTAGGTAAAAAAGATCAACAAAGCGTAAGATAGAATAGCGCCAAATATAAAACAACGCTGGAACATATCAGTGAGCGTCAAACACACACAAAATGTTTTTACTGTTATGTTTGTCAAGTTTATACTTGTTGCACACAGTTATTTTTGGTTGTACATTGATCGGAATAAAATTCCCTAAACAGACATATGCATATAATACATGATATGGAGGAAGCATTACCAGTACAAACAGCTAAAGTCACCCATCTGCAACCCGTTTGGGACACATGCTACACCCAAAAAAAAATCTATGAAGGTTCGAATCTACTTATGGCAGTTTATGTGATACAGTGTTCATTCTGGTATCAAAATACTCGTTTCAGTTTGTAGTTCATGCGATTTTCAGAATCAACTGAATCGCTGGAGGTTCAACATTCGAGTCAGAGTCATCTGACAAAACCGTCTCGTCAAATGGCAGTGTGCCAAACATCTCGGGTTCTGATTCGGCTGCTGCTTCAGCTTGAGGTGTTGAAGTGAACAAGGGCCGCCTCACACCAGATGGTCCAGGAGTTTGCATGGCGTCAGCATAGGCAGGACCTGTGTCATCATTTATGTCTGGAGCGTGCCGCAAGTGTTGAGATACTGTTGCTGTTTGAGGCCAATCTTCCGGGTCCCAGCACAATAGGGCCCAAATTGCCGCCTCGTGGAACTGTAGCAATGTTAGCTTTTTTTGATCAGTTGTGTTGTATTTGTACAAAACAAAGGCATTATGCAAAGCCATTTGCAGGAAATAAAACGTTATCTTTTTGGTCCACTTGTGAGTTTTCCTGGTAAAATGGTAATACCATTTGATCGAAGTGGTCCACACCTTTCATGAACTTATTGTACCATGCAGCCTAGTGGTGAGAAAGAGCCTCATGGCGTGCAGTTTGAAACAAACCCAAAGTAAATCGGATTAATATTGAATTTTATACAAATATTTTTTTCAGGACATCATTTTATGTCCACATTGTGGAAGCGGGTAGGCGAAACAGGACTCCAGGTTATGTCCTGAACCGCATAAAGTGTTAAAGAACAATCAGGTTAAGACTGGTTACACACCTAGATAACATTAGGTTTGTAAGCAAACACCAACATGGGTTCAGGGAAGGGAAATCATGCCTAACAAACAACCTGGAATTCTATGATAAAATTACAAGAAAAAGGCAGGACAGGGAAGGATGGGTAGACTGCACATTTCTGGACTGCCAAAAAGCCTTTCATACACAACCGCACAGGAGACTGCTATTCAAACTTGAGAGGCAGGCATGAGTAAGTGGAAAAGCTCTAGCATGGGTAAGGAACCGCCTAACAGGAAGGAGCCGGAGTGTTATGGTAAGGGGCTAGAAGTCGGACTAGTGAACAATAAAGAGTAGTGTACCTCAAGGATCGGTGCTGGGACCAGTTCTATTTCTAAAATACATAAATGACATGTCTACAGGAGTAGAGTCCTAAATGTCAATGTTTGTGGATGAAGCAAAATTAATGAAACGAGTTGTGACAGATGAGGATTCTCCAAGAACTTTTGAATAGGTTGCAGAGATGGTCATAGAAATGGCTACTGAAGTTCAACACGAGCAAATGTAAAGTTATGGAATTGGATTTGGGTGACAGACCAAAGGACAGTACACAATGAAGGGAAACTACCTACCTGTGATGATTCAAGAAAGATCTGGGAGTGGACATAACACCTAATCTAACTTCTGAGGAACATATACAGTAAATAGAATAACAACAGCAGTGTACTCTATGGCGAAAGGTATATCATTAAGAAACCTAAGTAAGGAGGCATTTAGAGTATTTGTCCATCACACGCTAATATAGATACTGTATACATTCTACAGGGTTCAACACAGACTCCTCATACGATTAATATTTATGGAATGTACTGGGTGTTAGAAGGATAATCTCATGTACAGTATCCTTAGCATTGAGTAATGTCACTGGGATCCCAAATTTTAACTTCTTAGTCAGAAATGTAGGCAATGTCAAATTTAGCAATGTACATTCAAGTTACTTGAATTGAACCATTACTTCCCTTTGCAGCTGTGTTGTCTACCCATGAGCATAATTGTGCTGTAAAAATATGTAACGTCATTGCAGAAAGAAGTTTGACTTGAGGTGAAAGGAGATATTTATCTGTAAATTAGCAGATTATACTAAGTAAAAGCCCAGACAATAATAAATTTATGTAAATCATACAATTTCAGGATTTAGTATCGGCAATATAGGAAGATTAGTTATTCAAATTTATCCATCTTTTTAACATATGGATGGGTAACCTGGGCATTCATTTAGTCTCCTTGAGGTTACCTTGAGGTGCTTCCGGGGCTTAGCGTCCCCGCGGCCCGGTCGTCGACCAGGCCTCCTGGTTGCCGGACTGATCAACCAGGCTGTTGGACGCAGCTGCTCGCAGCCTGACGTATGAGTCACAGCCTGGTTGATCAGGTATCCTTTGGAGGTGCTTATCCAGTTCTCTCTTGAACACTGTGAGGGGTCGGCCAGTTATGCCCCTTATGTGTAGTGGAAGCGTGTTGAACAGTCTCGGACCTCTGATGTTGATAGAGTTCTCTCTCAGAGTACCTGTTGCACCTCTGTTTTTCAACGGGGGTATTCTGCACATCCTGCCAGAATACCCCCGTTGAAAAACAGAGGTGCAACTGGTACTCTGAGAGAGAACTCTATCAACATCAGAGGTCCGAGACTGTTCAACACGCTTCCACTACACATAAGGGGCATAACTGGCCGACCCCTCACAGTATTCAAGAGAGAACTGGATAAGCACCTCTCATACAAGTTATATTGAAAACTATTATACTGTACATTTAACTGCATCTGTCTCGGCACCCAGCCGGTAGGGAACTACAACTCTACTACTGCACTAACATGTGCACTAAAATACTGCATTGCAGTGGGGTGGGAGAGCTTGTCACAAGCATCTGTACCCTTCCCCACTTAACCTGATAATGACTTATTATTGACATCCCAAAACAGAATTAAGAGTTAAAACGCTCTACACACCTCTTTGTTATTCTTCCATCTTTGAGACTTGTCCAGGGATGCAGAAGGGACGGAATCCTTCAACTTCGGATTGTACGCTGTTGGTGGTGGAGCACAACCTGCAATAAAAATGTTGCAGTGAAACTATGCACAAAGTCATCATGACTACAGAACATAACACCAAATTATACAAGGACAAAGCAAGAGTTAGGAAAGCAAGAAGGGGGGGGGGGGGAACAAACTTAAACAACTGCAATCAAAGCCAATACTGCAAGAAGCCAGGCAGTCATTACACCAACTAATCAAAGTACATAAGCTAAATAATTATTAACTGGTAAAATAATGAATTTAACCCATACATGGATGTTAAATAATTAACATTATCCAACAGTCATGTCATCAAACACTTAAAATCCTTACCAACATTCTTAAGTGCCTAAAAAAAAATCATTAGTCTTGTTGCAAAACTTGAGTATGACTGAAGACATTGTTTTATAAACTGTGCAGAAAATACCAACAAAGCTACTGTAGTTTTGTCACAAAATCCAAGTCTAGACATCCTTGTGTGTGTCTCCAGGCTGCAAGACTTGCCACCCATTAAATCCCAATGCATTGGATATATAAGCAATAAACATTTTCGGCAAGAAAATATACGCATCAATAACAAACCTGGGGAAAACCTTCCATATAGCAGGCCGAGGATTCCTAGAGAGGCAAAATAGTCGTGCACAGTGCTTTGAACAAAACCACCACCAGTGCCAAACTTTGAATAAACACTAATATCATATAGAACTAAACATACCTGCTTGATGGGGTTCTGGGAGTTGTTCTACCCAAAGCCCAGCCTGAGGCCAGGATTGACTTATGAGAGTTTGGTCCACTAGGCTGTTGCTGGGAGCGGCACGCAGGCCTACATACCCACCACAGCCCGGTTGGTCCAGCATTTTTTTTAGAAAACAGTCTAGTTTTCTTTTTAAGATGTCCACGGTTGTTCCAGCAATATTTTTTATAGTCGCTGGAAGGACGCTGAACAACCGCGGACCTCTGATGTTTATACAGTGTTCTCTGATTGTGCCTATGGCACCTCTGCTCTTCACTGGTTCTATTCTGCATTTTCTTCCATATCGTTCACTCCAGTATGTTGTTATTTTACTGTGTAGATTTGGAACCTGGCCCTCCAGTATTTTCCATGTGTATATTGTTTGGTATCGCTCTCGTCTTCTTTCTAGTGAGTACATTTGAAGAGCTTTCAGACGATCCCAATAATTTAGACGCTTTATCGCGTCTATGCGTGCCGTATATATTCTCTGTACCTGTATTCCCTTTATTTCAGCAATCTCTCCTGCTCTGAAGGGGGAAGCGAGTACTGAGCAGTACTCAAGATAGGACAACGCAAGTGACTTGAGTACAACCATTGTGATGGAATCCCTGGATTTGAAAGTTCTCGTAATCCATCCTATCATTTTTCTGGCTGCTGCAATATTTGCTTGGTTATGTTCCCTAAACGTTAGGTCGTCAGACATCATTATTCCCAAATCCTTGACACGCTGTTTTTCTACTATGGGCAGATTCGATTGCGTTTTGTACCCTGTATTATGTTTCAGATCCTCATTTTTGCCGTTCCTGAATACCTGGAATTTATCACTGTTAAACATTTTATTTTCTGCCGCCCAATCGAAAACTTTGTTGATATCTGCTTGTAGTTTTTCAATGTCTTCCTCAGAGGTAATTTTCATGCCGATTTTTGTGTCATCTGCAAAGCATGACACGAAGCTGTGACTTCTATTTTTGTCTATATCTGATATAAGAATTAGGAAAAGCAGTGGTGCAAGGACTGTACCTTCAGGTACAGAACTTTTAACTGCGCTTGGGCTCGATTTTATTTGAATGACCGTTACTCTTTGTGTTCTGTTCGACAGGAAATTGAGTATCCAGCGTCCTACTTTACCAGTTATTCCCATTGACCTCATTTTGTGTGCTGTCACTCCATGAACACATTTGTCGAATGCCTTTGCAAAGTCTGTGTATACTACATCTGCATTTTGCTTTTCTTCTAGAGCTTCTGTGATTTTGTCATAGTGGTTGAGTAACCGTGACAGACAGGATCTTCTCGCTCTAAATCCATGTTGTCCCGAGTTGTGTAGTTCATTATTTTCCATAAAACTAAAAATTTGATTCCTAATCACTCTTTCAAAAACTTTTATTATGCGAGATGTTAGTGCAACTGGTCTATAATGTTTTGCCAAGGCTTTACTACCCCCCCTTGTGCAGCAGAGCTATAACTGCTGATTTAAGTGCAGCTGGTATCTCCCCTGTATCCAGGCTCTTTCTCCATATTACGCTGAGTGCTCGCACTACTGGTACTTTACATTTCTTAATAAATATTGAATTCCACGAGTCCGGCCCAGGAGCTTAGTGCATGGGCATATTGTCAATTTCTCTTTCAAAATCTTCTGAGTTTGTGTTATATCCATTATATACACATCCAATATGAAATCATTTTCAACATATATAACACAGTGAATGAGTGTTACAAACATCCCATTACAAAAAATCTAGTGAAACTTAAGGGCTTATATACTACAGTAAATGGTTTCCTTTTGGTTTGCTGGCAGACCTGTAGTGTGTCGGAAGGATACATACAGGAAGATATATTATGAGTAATAAACAATGTCTGTATACCAGTGCTCCAAACTGCCACAACCTAAACACCAACAAGAGTACAGCATTAATTGTAATTGTACAGTGCAATGACCAAAGCAAATAATGAACTGCAATTTTGTGTAAACTAACTCATTTATAAATGTACAAATATTTAGGAAATTTTGTTTAGATTCTAATCTATTGAAAATGCCACAATTGCATACATATTACATATTAAATTGCTTATTAATATCATACCCTTTTAGTCAGCAGTTAACTAGAGATGAGCAACTGATCATTAGGAGTCAAAGAGGTCGGAGAGAAACTTAAACAAAAATATTAAAATACCATTGTAGAATACCAGCACACCCTGCTACTATGTCTAATTTTATTATTATTTTTGATATATACACAATAGTTTACACATTCTTGTACAGCCACTAGTACGCGTAGCGTTTCGGGCAAGTCCCTGGAATACAACCCCCACCGCGAAGAATCATTTTTACAACCAAGTACCCATTTTACTGTTGAGTTTAACAGAGGCTACAGTTAAGGATTTGCGCCCAATAAATCCTCCCAGGCCAGGATAGAAACCCATGACAAAGCGGTCGCGGAACGCCAGGCGAGTGTCTTACCCCTACATCACGTTGACTGGTATATGTTAGATCTGAACACAACAACATTCCCAAGAAACGAGCCACCAAACCTTGGGGTGCCTGACAGGCAGATGCTGGATACCCAAACATCCAAAAGCCAAGTACAATATGTTGTTATGGAGCCGTTATATAGGAGTATTGAAACAAATGTGAGCATTGTTTTACTGGTGAAGTTTTCTTACAAATTGGTGACAAGTTTTGTCATTTTGGAGACAAGCACCCGAGTGTCCCAACACCGAGCAACTATTTCCAGAGTCCTACATATTTTGTTTAATACAGTACCTATACTGTATATAATAAAGTATTCGATTAAAGATAACTATCCAAGTGATTTAAATGCCTATATGGGGCTATATTCTACTCATTAAATCTGGGGCTCTTCTAAACCTGGTGTTAAAATGTTGGTAACTCATTCAATTATATTTAGGAGGGTACCGAGTCAATGACTGCAAATAAGGTTTCAGTTACTGATCTCTGATTTGGCCAGTAAATCAAAAGGTCTTTACATTCGGTGAATACTGTGCCTCCTCCTGATGTGTTGGTGTGATTGTAAATGGATTAATTTATATTTTTAAGTTACATTTGGAAACATAAATAGTGAGAAATAACAACTAACTTGCACCTCTATTTATATGCAGAGGGCAAAGCATTGCACACACCCTTCCACTCTTTACGACCACAATAACATTTCCAACTACTGGCACCCCAGTTGCCTCCCCCGGCCGCCAACTCGGCAGGCACTCCCTAGCCGCCATAACACCACCGCCACACCACTACCCCTGGCCGCCCCCGCCACAACACCACCCCTGGCCACCTCCACAACACCCCTGGCCACCACAACAACACCCCTGGCCACCAACCACCACCTCCACAACACCCCTGCCACCACAACAATACCCCCTGGCCACCACCATCACAACAATACCCCCTGGCCACCACCACCACAACACCCCCCCTGGCCACCACCACAACACCACCCCCCCCTGGCCACCCACAACAACACCCCCCCCTGGCCACCACCACAACAACACCCCCCCCCCCCCTGGCCACCACCACAACAACACCCCCCCCTGGCCACCACCACAACAACACCCCCCCCTGGCCACCACCACAACAACACCCCCCCCTGGCCACCACCACAACAACACCCCCCCCTGGCCGCCACCACAACAACACCCCCCCCTGGCCGCCACCACAACACCACCCCCCCTGGCCGCCACCACAACAACACCCCCCCCCCCCCTGGCCGCCACCACAACAACACCCCCCCCCCTGGCCGCCACCACAACAACACACCCCCCCCCCTGGCCGCCACCACAACAACACCCCCCCTGGCCGCCACCACAACAACACACCCCCCTGGCCGCCACCACAACAACACCCCCCCCCTGGCCGCCACCACAACAACACCCCCCCTGGCCGCCACCACAACAACACCCCCCCCTGGCCACCACCACAACAACACCCCCCCTGGCCACCACCACAACAACACCCCCTGGCCACCACCACAACAACACCCCCCCTGGCCGCCACCACCACCACCATCACAACAACACCCCCCTGGCCACCACCACCACCACCACCACAACAACACCCCCCCTGGCCACCACCACCATCACAACAACACCACACTGGCCACCACCACCACAACACCCCCCCTGGCCACCACCACCACCACAACAACACCCCCCCTGGCCACCACAACAACACCCCCCCTGGCCACCACCACAACAACACCCCCCCCTGGCCACCACCACAACAACACCCCCTCTGGCCACCACCACAACAACACCCCCCCCTGGCCACCACCACAACAACACCCCCCCTTGCCACCACCACCACAACACACCCCCCCTGGCCACCACCACCACAACAACACCCCCCCTGGCTGCCACCACCACAACAACACCCCTGGCCACCACCACCACAACAACACCTCTGGCCGCCACCACCACAACAACACCTCTGGCCGCCACCACCACAACAACACCCCCCTGGCCACCACCACAACAACACCACCCCTGGCCACCACCACAACAACACCCCCCCTGGCCACCACCACAACAACACCCCCCTGGCCACCACCACAACAACACCCCCCTGGCCACCACCACAACAACACCTCTGGCCGCCACCACCACAACAACACCCCCCCTGGCCACCACCACAACAACACCCCCCCTGGCCACCACCACAACAACACCCCCCCTGGCCACCACCACAACAACACCCCCCCTGGCCACCACCACAACTACACCCCCCCTGGCCACCACCACAACAACACCCCCCCTGGCCACCACCACAACAACACCCCCCCTGGCCACCACCACAACACCCCCCCTGGCCACCACCACCACAACAACCCTGGCCACCACCACAACAACACTCCTGGCCACCACAACAACACCACCACAACAACCCTGGCCACCACAACAACACCACCACAACAACACAACAATGTTGTGTGTGGTGGTTGTTAGAGTTTAACCCAACCAAATGTAATGTAATGAAGATAGGTGTAGGGAGCAGGAGGCCAGATACAAGGTATCATCTGGGAGAGGAAATTCTTCAGGAGTCAGAGAAGGAAAAAGACTTGGGGGTTGATATCACGCCAGACCTGTCTCCTGCAGCACATATCAAGCGGATAACATCAGCGGCATATGCCAGGCTGGCCAACATACGAACGGCATTCAGAAACTTGTGTAAAGAATCATTCAGAACTTTGTATACCACATATGTCAGGCCAATCCTGGAGTATGCAGCCCCAGCATGGAGTCCATATCTAGTCAAGGATAAGACTAAACTGGAAAAGGTTCAAAGGTTTGCCACCAGACTAGTACCCGAGCTGAGAGGTATGAGCTACGAGGAGAGACTACGGGAATTAAACCTCACTTCGCTGGAAGACAGAAGAGTTAGGGGGGACATGATCACCACATTCAAGATTCTGAAGGGGATTGATAGGGTAGATAAAGACAGTCTATTTAATACAAGGGGAACACGCACAAGAGGACACAGGTGGAAACTGAGTGCCCAAATGAGCCACAGAGATATTAGAAAGAACTTTTTTAGTGTCAGAGTGGTTGACAAATGGAATGCATTAGGGGGTGATGTGGTGGAGGCTCACTCCATACACAGTTTCAAGTGTAGATATGACAGAGCCCGATAGGCTCAGGAATCTGTACACCTGTTGATTGACGGTTGAGAGGCGGGACCAAAGAGCCAGAGCTCAACCCCCGCAAACACAACTAGGTGAGTACAACAACCCTGGCCACCACAACAACACCACCACAACAACCCTGGCCACCACCACCACCACAACAACACCCCCCCTGGCCACCACCACCACCACAACAACACCCCCCCCCTGGCCACCACCACCACCACAACAACAACCCCCCTGGCCACCACCACCACAACAACACCCCCCCCTGGCCACCACCACCACAACAACACACCCCCCCTGGCCACCACCACCACAACAACACCCCCCCCCTGGCCACCACCACCACAACAACACCCCCCCTGGCCACCACCACAACAACAACACCCCCCTGGCCGCCACCACCACCACAACACCCCTGGCCACCACCACAACAACACCCCTGGCCACCACCACAACACCAACCCCTGGCCACCACCACCACCACAACACCAACCCCTGGCCACCACAACACCATCCCTGGCCACCACCACAACAACACCCCCCCTGGCCACCACCACCACAACACCACCCCCCTGGCCACCACCACCACAACAACACACCCCCTGGCCACCACCACAACAACACCCCTGGCCACCACCACCACAACAACACACCCCCTGGCCACCACCACAACAACACCCCTGGCCACCAACACCCCTGGCCACCACCACCACCACAACAACACCCCTGGCCACCACAACACCATCCCTGGCCACCACAACACCATCCCTGGCCACCACCACAACAACAACACTCCTGGCCACCACCACAACAACAACAACAACACTCCTGGCCACCACAACAACAACACCCCTGGCCACCACCACCACAACAACACCCCTGGCCACCACCACAACAACAACACCCCTGGCCACCACCACAACAACAACAACACCTCTGGCCACCACCACAACAACAACAACACCCCTGGCCACCACCACCACAACAACACCCCCTGGCCACCACCACAACAACAACACCCCCCTGGCCACCACCACAACAACAACACCCCCCCCTGGCCACCACCACAACACCCCCCTGGCCACCACCACAACAACAACCCTGGCCACCACCACCACAACAACACACTCCTGGCCACCACCACAACACCATCCATGGCCACCACAACAACAACACTCCTGGCCACCACCACCCCAACAACAACACTCCTGGCCACCACCACCACAACAACACTCCTGGCCACCACAACAACAACACTCCTGGCCACCACCACAACACCATCCCTGGCCACCACCACCACAACAACAACACCCCTGGCCACCACCACCACCACAACAACACCCCTGGCCACCACCACCACCACAACAACACTCCTGGCCACCACCACCACCACAACAACACTCCTGGCCACCACCACAACAACACTCCTGGCCACCACCACCACCACAACAACACTCCTGGCCACCACCACCACCACAACAACACTCCTGGCCACCACCACCACCACAACAACACTCCTGGCCACCACCACCACCACAACAACACTCCTGGCCACCACCACCACCACCACAACAACACTCCTGGCCACCACCACCACACCACCACCACAACAACACTCCTGGCCACCACCACCACAACAACAACACCACCACCACAACAACACCACACTCCTGGCCACCACCACCACAACAACAACACTCCTGGCCACCACCACCACCACCACAACAACACTCCTGGCCACCACCACCACAACAACAACACTCCTGGCCACCACCACCACAACAACAACACTCCTGGCCACCACCACCACAACAACAACACTCCTGGCCACCACCACCACAACAACAACACTCCTGGCCACCACCACCACCACAACACCACAACACAACACACCCCCTGGCCACCACCTGGCCACCACCACCACAACAACAACAACACCCCTGGCCACCACCACAACAACAACAACAACACCCCTGGCCACCACCACCACAACAACCCTGGCCACCACCACCACCACAACAACACTCCTGGCCACCACCACCACCACAACAACACTCCTGGCCACCACCACCACAACAACAACACTCCTGGCCACCACCACCACAACAACAACACTCCTGGCCACCACCACCACAACAACAACACTCCTGGCCACCACCACCACAACAACAACACTCCTGGCCGCCACCACCACAACAACAACACTCCTGGCCGCCACCACCACAACAACAACACTCCTGGCCACCACCACAACAACAACACTCCTGGCCACCACCACAACAACAACACTCCTGGCCACCACCACCACAACAACACTCCTGGCCACCACCACCACAACAACACTCCTGGCCACCACCACAACAACAACACTCCTGGCCACCACCACCACAACAACACTCCTGGCCACCACAACAACAACACTCCTGGCCACCACCACCCCAACAACAACACTCCTGGCCACCACCACCACAACAACACTCCTGGCCACCACCACCACAACAACACTCCTGGCCACCACCACCACAACAACAACAACCCTGGCCACCACCACCACAACAACAACACTCCTGGCCACCACCACAACAACAACACTCCTGGCCACCACCACAACAACAACACTCCTGGCCACCACCACAACAACAACACTCCTGGCCACCACCACCACAACAACACTCCTGGCCACCACCACCACAACAACACCCCTGGCCACCACCACCACAACAACACCCCTGGCCACCACCACAACAACACTCCTGGCCACCACCACAACAACAACCCTGGCCACCAACACCCCTGGCCACCACCACAACAACACCCCTGGCCACCACCACAACACCACCACCCCTGGCCACCACCACAACACCCCTGGCCACCACAACAACACCCCTGGCCACCACAACACCACCACCCCTGGCCACCACCACAACAACACCCCTGGCCACCACCACAACAACACCCCTGGCCACCACCACAACAACACCACCCCTGGCCACCACAACACCCCCTGGCCACCACCACAGAGGTGGCCACTTCGCCTCACACAAACATTACCTATTTCCTCGTTGAAGCGCTTCAGTTTAGCCTTGGAGAACATGGTGTAGCCAGGTATCCCAAGTGTACACAGAAGCAGCAGGAGCGTGTACACCACAGCAACAGGAGTGTACACAGGAGCGTGTAGACCGTAGGAGTAGTATGTACACCGCAACAACAGCAGCAGGAGTGGTGTACACACAGGAGCGTGTACACGGCAGGAGGAGAGCGCACACAGGAGCGTGTACACGGCAGGAGGAGAGCGTACACAGGAGCGTGTACACGGCAGCAGCAGGAGAGTACACAGGCGTGTGTACACCACACTCGTGTTGCCGCCACTGTGCCACAACAGCGGGAGATTTAAAAACCTGTAGCCAATCAGGGAGAGGCAGTCGTCTGGCCAGCCAATCAGCGCCCGGGACACAGCTCCAGTCTTGACGTCGGCTTTGGGAACAACAACACACACATGTTATTCGTATTTATTTTAATAATATTGTATTATATGTGCCTACTAATGTAAGAAAATATATATAATCTGTATTACTGCTTATTCTACTTAAATTATATAATTTGGGGAATTTTTTTGACTAGTTGTAATATTTATCAGTTGCTGCTCGTCCTGATGGTCCTGCAGCTGGAATACAAATACAAATACAAATATTTATTCAGGTAAAGTACATACATACAAGGTAAAATACAAAAGTTGATGGATTCATAGATAGAGCTAGTACATACAATGCCTAAAGCCACTATTACGCAAAGCGTTTCGGGCAGGAAAAGCACTAAGACTAAAACTTAATACTAACTTAGATTAAAGTATATATTGTGTTGAGAAAAAAATCAGAAAAAAATGAAAAAGGGGGAGGGGGAAACATGGCAGAAAAAAACAAAAATACAATTTGGTCAACAAACAGCATTGTTTAAAATCGTAGACATGGGTTGACATTCAGGGGTGAGGTAGCTAGCTTACATTGAGTTAATTAGGTGGTACTTAGTTTAACTAGTTTTTTTTTGAGATATATACAAGAGTTGTTACATTCTTGTACAGCCACTAGTACGCGTAGCGTTTCGGGCAGGTCCTTAATCCTATGGTCCCTGGAATACGATCCCCTGCCGCGAAGAATCGTTTTTTCATCCAAGTACACATTTTACTGTTGCGTTAAACAGAGGCTACAGTTAAGGAATTGCGCCCAGTCAATCCTCCCCGGCCAGGATACGAACCCATGACATAGCGCTCGCGGAACGCCAGGCGAGTGTCTTACCACTAGTTGTGAGTTGTACTGTCTTTAACATAATTGGGATAGTCATTCCACATTCGAGGTCCCTTGATTTGTAAAGCATTTCTAGTTTGACTAAGTCGTACTCTTGGAAGTCAAATCAAATGAAATGAATTGTCTATTCAGGTAAAAGTACACACATACAAGATGAGTTACGAACATAATGTTGGATTTATAGATAGAGCTTGTACATACTATGCCTAAATCCATTAATACGCATAGCGTTTCGGGCAAGGTGTGGGGAAGAAAACACTTAGACTAAGACTTAATACTAATAGAGATCAAAGCCTAAATTGAGTTGATAGAGGCCTAATATCTACCTTTACCCTCTAACTTTAACCTACGGCACCTGAAATGGAAGCACCTGGCTAATACAGTAATATCAGAAAGAATACCAGGAAGTAGCCTCAATGAACAGGCACATGCAAATGACCTGCTACGGATGTGCGACAGGTTTGCCTTAAACCAGCAAATAGTAGAACCAACTAGGAAGGAGAACACGCTGGACCTCATTTTCACTAATAATGATGAATTGATCTGGAACATAATGATTACAAATACCTGTTACTCAGATCACAACTTTTTTTTTTTTTTTTTTTTTTTTTTTTTGAGATATATACAAGAGTTGTTACATTCTTGTACAGCCACTAGTACGCATAGCGTTTCGGGCAGGTCCCTGGAATACGATCCCCGCCGCGAAGAATCGTTTTTTCATCCAAGTACACATTTTACTGTTGCGTTAAACAGAGGCTACAGTTAAGGAATTGCGCCCAGTAAATCCTCCCCGGCCAGGATACGAACCCATGACATAGCGCTCGCGGAACGCCAGGCGAGTGTCTTACCACTACACCACGGAGACATAACTTAATTGAAGTTATGACAACCATGGGGAGTAGACCTTCAAAACCAGTCCAGATTCCCGGTGGAGATTTCAGCAAATTCAACTTCAATAATAAACAGATAAACTGGGAGCAAATAAACCAGGACTTCACAGAAATAAACTGGGAAGAACAGCTAGAAAATGCAAACCTGAACCAGTGCCTGGAAAAAATAAGCTCAGTAGCACTAGAAATATGTACAAACCGCATACCCCTAAGAAAAAAGAGAAGGAGATGCAGATTGGAACGGGAACGTCGTTCCCTATATAGGCGAAGAAAACGAATCGCGGAACAACTTGAGAGTCGCACCTTATCTCAAGAACGGCGAAGAAGGTTAGGTAGAGAAATAGAAACAATTGAACTCAAGCTACAAGAATCATACAAAACCCAGGAGAGGCAAAGAGAGCAAAAGGCCATCAGTGAAATAGAGAGAAATCCGAAATATTTTTTCTCCTATGCAAAATCAAGATCAAAAACCACATCTAGTATCGGGCCCCTGCGAAAGGGAGATGGAACTTTCACCGATGACAACAAAGAAATGAGCGAGCTACTGAGGAAGCAGTGCGACTCTGTTTTCAGTGAGCCATTAAACGCACTAAAGATTGATAACCCAAATGAATTTTTCATGGATATGATACCAACATCAAATCATATATCAGACGTCACCCTTTCCCCACTGGATTTTGAAGAAACCATAAACAGTATGCCTATGCACTCTGCACCAGGCCCGGCTTCTTGGAACTCCATATTCATCAAGAACTGTAAAAAAACACTATATATAAATGAAAATATAAAAACGGAATCCACGTACAAAACTCAGGCAAATCATGACATAGAACGAAAAGGCAATGTAAAGGATCTGGGTGTACTCATGTCGGAAGACCTTACCTTTAAAGAACACAATAAAGTAGCCGCCACAACTGCAAGAAAAATGACAGGTTGGATAACAAGAACTTTTCATACTAGAGAAACGCTTGTGCTCTCTAGAGTGGAGTACTGCTGCACAATGACAGCACCTTTCAAAGCTGGAAAAATTGCCGACCTGGAGAGCGTGCAGAGATCCTATACTGCTAGAATTCACTCAGTAAAACACCTAAACTATTGGGACCGACTAAAGAGCCTAAATCTGTACTCCCTTGAGCGCAGGCGGGAGAGATATATAATAATTTACACGTGGAAAATGTTAGAGGGGCCCAAACCTGCACACAGAAATAACATCACATGAGACCAGAAGACATGGCAGGATGTGCAGAATACCCCCATTGAAAAGCGGAGGTGCAACAGGTACTTTGAGAGAGAACTCTATCAACATCAGAGGCCCGAGACTGTTCAACACGCTTCCGCTACACATAAGGGGCATAACTGGCAATCCCCTCACAGTGTTCAAGAGAGAACTGGATAAGCACCTCCAAAGTCACAGCCATCAACCAGGCTGTGACTCATACGTCAGGCTGCGAGCAGCCGCGTCCAACAGCCTGGTTGATCACTCCAGCAACCAGGAGGCCTGGTCGACGACCGGGCCGCGGGGACGCTAAGCCCCGGAAGCACCTCAAGGTAACCTCAAGGAGGGGAAAAAGGGGAAAAAACATCACAGATATCAGCAGTTATACAAGTTGGTCAACAAACAGTACTTGTTTGAAAATAGCAAGACATAGATTGACATTTTAGGGGATAAGGTAGGTTTCATGGAGTTTATTGGGCAGTACTTAGTTTTTATCTTAAACTGGTTGAGAGAGGTACAGCCTTTGGCGGGATTGGGAAGGTCATTCCACTTTCTGGGTCCCTTGATATGCAGAGCATTTCTCGTTTGGTTAAGTCGCAGTCTTGGAATATCAAATAGGTATTTTTTCTTGTGTAGCCAGATAACCATGTTTCTGGTTTTCATGGGTTCTGTTAAAAACCTTTTATGAAGCGTTTAAGGTCAGGACTGGCATTACAGTTCAGAGTTTTAAATATATATACACTTGAGAGGATGTGCAGTGACTTAATATCTAACATATTCAAAGATTTGAATATGTTAGATGTGGATGTTGAATATGTTATGTGGAGCGGACTCACGCTCGAACGCTCATCCGCTCCTGACGACCCTGCTGCTCCTCCAACTTTATCAGCTGCTCCTTGAGCCCACAACATCCCAAACATGATGTAACAACCCCAGAAGGCAGCTAAGTACCCAGTGACATAAATGTGATCAAAATATACGACAAAACCTAACCTACTAGCTCATCTCGACCTCATTAGTGTTGCTCCCTGGAGGAAGCTAACCTGACGTTTGCTGCTGCCACATCAACGAGTCTACCCCATCTGCCTGCGTACATCTCTGCTGCTACCATGCGAAATAATTCTAAGCTCGGTAAGGACGCAAAGAAAGATAGCACACCTATCAGGATGAACCCAACTAGCCAAGCTAGCAACAGGAATTACGCGGCAGACTCCCCCTTAATGGCTGCCGGGTGGGGGGTGGGGGGGGGGGGCGTACGGACCCTCCCTTCAACAACAATAACAAACCTTCCCAGCTGAGATTTAGCTTGAGCTACCTCATCCCTTTGTGTGTATTTTACCTCAATAAACTTATTTCAATTTCAATTTCAATTCAATTTCCCAGCTGAGTGGAGCGTCGTCACCGACTCGAGCCATGCAACAGTTATGTAACCATATGGAGCAACTTAAACGAGCTGCCTCCCCATGTTCCGACTTTAAGCGTCTCGCTGATAATCCATGGCTCAAACTATTGACTCAGATACATAATAACCAAATGTCTATAATCCGAGAGCAGACGGACCTAATAAGGAAGCTACAGAGTGATGCTTTGGCCATGCATAAGATTAACCAAGATCTGTCTGCCAGAGTCGGCCACCTCGAATAGGAATTAGGCTCTCTTCAGATCTCGGTTACTAACTTTAAATCAGCAGAAACCTCTACGAAGCAAGAAGAGATGTTACAAAAGTTAGAGAATCATTTTAACTCCCTACAACAGCAACACACTGCAACCCAAGACGAATCAGACCAACTTCCAAATGCCTCCCAACACCTCAAACCAATTCTATTTGCTGACGACACAACCTTCATTTACTCCAGTCCTGACCCCCTTGCTCTAAATGCCACAGTAAATACTGAGCTAAATAAAGTCCATCTTTGGCTAACTGCCAACAAACTCACCCTTAACATATCAAAACTTTCTATATTCTGTTTGGCAATAAATCCTCTA